AATGATCCAAAGAGCAAAAGAGCAAAAAAGCAACAACAATAACAAATCTCAAACAAAAGTACAATAACAACAAAATGGAAATAAATATTTGTAGCAGTGCGAATTGTAAAGGAACAACTGTTGTTTTGTTTTATTGTTGCTGGTGCAGTTGCTGCAGTTGCTGCTGTTGGTGCTACAGTTGGTGCAGCATTTAAGCTGCAAATTTATGAATTGTCAGTGAATTGAATTGGAGTTTGGCTTGGTGGTGAGAGGTAGGAGGATACATAGTGCAACAAGTACACGAGTAAACGTAATGGACGAACACCGTCCAGTGAACTGCACAGAAGTATCTGAACTCAAAATGATTAAAATGAAATGAAATTATGGCAACATGAAATATGTTATTGCACATCAATAACAACAACATTTATCGCCAACGCATTGAGATATTTAAGGAAATATATTGCGCTTAAACTTAGGCCTATAAAAATATATTATTGGCAATGCGGTAAGGAGTTTCTAAAATATGATTTTAAGGTATATTAAACGTGGTAGTGTTTGATAAAGAAATACACATTAAATATTTTGGAAACTAAACTTAATTGTTTTTCCATTTAAAAGTAAAGGAAATGTTGTTTTGATTTACAAGTTGCTTGAATTTGACGATAAATTTTTATAAAGGTTTTGTTGATAAGGGTTGGTTCTCGAGTTATTGGACTCTGAAATCGCAATTTTTACATTGAAATCGCTGAAATGTACCTGTTAATTACTGTTAATATTTATTGTTTCTGTTAAGTACGATTTGTATAAAGTAGTTGCCGCTAAGTGGCTCGTAGAGTCATAAAGAGTTCAAAATATTGGCCCGATATATCATGATTCAATCTATGTCATTATAAATGTTCTTTAAGTATAATTGCAAGAGTTCCGCATAACAATCATATTTTTAAAGCATTAAATTGCAATGGTTAAATAAGAAACGATTTTTTTCTTTAAGTAAAAGGGCAGAGGGTGCCGTAGTTGACAGCATGCTGAATTTCACCGTACATGCGCCTAAATTATGCAGTCGAATTTTGTAAAGGCGTTCGCAGGCTGTTCTTTGAAAGAAGATAAAGAAATTCTATTGAGCACATATAAAGTAATCTATTGCAGCCTCTGTTGTTCCAGTTTCGCCCCATAGCTATGTGAGATAGACTGGCGCCACAGTAACCAGAGTCCACACTTCACTCACTTCGAACGAGCAGTGAGCTTCAATATGGATAAGGTCTGTCAGTCAGAAATATTCTCTCTGACAGCACGGTTGTTTTAGAAAAAGGTCCTCAACAGTTCACCGATCGAAATCTCTGAAGGTGAATAAAGCCTCCTTCTTGCAGCAAAAAATATCCTAGCCCAATTTACGCCCGGATGTAGCTACGTGCTAAACTGTTGCTTTTTACGCGTAAATACATCTAACTACCATGTGTGCCTTAGCTGCAGCTCTACTCCTCAACTACGCCTATATATTTTCTTACTGAAATGTACACAGAACTGAAAACTACTGATTTATGATTCTCCCCCAGATAGCAAATTTCCTTTACCTGGATCTGGGCTATATCAATACTACCACCTTTCTCCCTCCCTTATTCACCTACTCCATTCCATTCTTTTATTCATCTTTTATAACTTTTCAGATTTAATGAAACTATAACACCAACAACAACAAGAATGTACTGGCACGTGAGCTGATTATTGGATCAAAGTAATAAAGAAATAAAGAGAGAAAAACTACGTAAAATGTATAAAAATAATATATAAATAAATATGGATCTTAAAAATAATGATAATAAAGTCAACTTTTATGAACGATGATACATATATATCGTGATGATATATACGATTTACTGTTTAATTTAGCGATGTTGCATACAAATATACATAATAAAACAAATTTGATAGGGAATATACGAGTATGTAGTAGGAAGGAATGGAGAACACTGTTTTAATTTCAATCAAAATAAGAAGTTAATAAAATATTTTAATTTGAAAATAAAATTCCACTTCTTGATATGAAGAACCATTTGTAGTTACTCTATATTTTTTTTAATAAATCAAGCAAATCTTCATTAGTTTTTATATGATAGTTCAATCGAATAAACTAATTCGTCTTGTTAACCTGTATGGACTATAAGGTTCTTGAGTATAATAGAATAGCATTAGATAAACATATCTCAGTTTAGTGTAATTTAAAAAACTATTTTCATATATGGCAAAAAGTTATTTTCAAAAGTATTTAATAAAATACAAAATGTTGATATATAGTAATATACATTTTTTATTTCCAAACATTTCGTCAGAAATTAAATTTCTTATTCTGAATGAATTTCTGAAATACTTACTCGTTTATGACCATCTTTTGTGGTAAGTCTCATATTGTTAGTTTTGAGTTTCTTATGAACCTTTTAGGAGATTTTATCGCCGCTTGATTTATTCATTAAGAAACATTTATTAGCGGGAAACAACACATAATCATGCAATCCATAAAGTCGTACACGAGACTTCAGCATATAAAGCAGCAAGACTGATGGGCTGAGAGCAGCAGAAGTGGTAGGTTCTGCATTAAAGCAGCATTAAAATGCAGAACAACATTTGTTCCTGGAAAGAAAAGTCGCAAAAGTTACGCCGTTATAAACCCAGAGCCGCGTATGCCGGCACTTGGCAACGGGCTTGGATGGATGGCCTCTGTTTTCTGCAGTCGAATTCGCATTTTTATTATTTTCAGTGTCTTTACTTCGTTTTAATAACTTTTAATTTATATTACGTTATTAATTTGTGATAATATTTAGCATGCATACATGTTTGCGTATTTAATCACTTAATTAAGCCTTTTATAAATTGACATTCACATATAAATGAGGTAAGCGGTTATTTATGTTGATACCCATATTGTGGGCAAGGTGCAGACGACCAGCCATTCGATTTATTTCGCTTTCCAGTTAAATGAGGAAGTAATATTGAGGAGCTAAGGAAAGTGCAGAGTTTTATTTTTATACTGAATTTGATTAAAAATTTAAGTGATAATGGAGACAAGGTACAAATAGCAGAGAGTAAAAGAAATTCTTGAAAGGTATAAGTACAGAAAAATTATTTCAATAAAAATTTGCAAAGATTTGCAAAGATTTTTTAAAATTAAAGAAAAGTTTATGACTAAATAATTTTCGGATGGTTATAATGAATATTGTGAAAATCTGTCTGTTTTTATTACATATAACATATATTATATAGGCCCAATTCAAAATTTCAACATTTAACTTCTTTCTTCTATGACCCAAGTAACAAGTACACTCTTGGTGCTACATAAGATAAGTGCATAAGGTGCATAAGATCTAACTATATAAAAGAATTTGAAATACTTAAACGAAAAAACTGGATCATTTTTCTATTTTAATAGAACGGTTGGATGAACGAGTAAATGGGTAAAATTAAATTGTTGCATCTGGGGATAGTTAAATAGGAAATTCAGCTATAGCCGCAGAAATACCATTGTCAAAAAATCAAATGCATGGTGTGGTATTTGGGCTAGATGTATAATTGGCCAGTACTTTTTTGAAAATGATGTGGGTGTGACATAAATCGTAAATTCTTATCTTTATAGATTACCATTGAAAATTATAGATTACAAATTACCATGGAAATTAATAGTTAAAACTTTGGCAAATTGGAATTCGTGGTAATGGAAGATATAGGGTTAAACTTTATGATGTTACTAGCCATACAATGCATTCTGATTTGTGTTTGTTGCGCGACAAAGTTTCGGATATTTTGTTATTATTATTGCTATTCGGTTTTTATACCGAATTGTGTCTATACAATCCATTTCTAATTTGCAAATATATTCCATATTGAAACAGGAAATAAATCAGCTTATTCCACAGTTTATAGTATTGTAAAAGTATAAATATATAAATATAAAAATATATAAATATATAAATATATATATATAAAAATATATAAATATATAAACATACAAAAACATGAATAAAAACGGGAGGCCATGATTCAACTAGGATCGTTGCCCCAATAATAATGATGATATAAATATAAAAAAATATACAACAGTCTATTATCTACTACTTTCAATAATTTAGAAATGTGAAGAAAATATAATGAAATATAAATTTTGAACCACTATTTGCGATGTTGTCTGAATTAATTTTAGATCTCAGGATATGCGTCGAGAAGTATAAGAATTATTTTATCCAGTGCTCCCTTAATTGTTGTGGTGCACTTACAGCCAAGCGCTTCTACTATATGCGATAAAACTGCATCACAGAGTAGCTAAAAATATATATTATTTGAAAGATCAAGAAGAAATAATGCTAATCCAAACTTACAATGATATCGTTTCTACGTACTCCATTTTCATAATGTGCACGAGACCAGTATGAGAGCATTAAATTCATTCTTCTTACATCGTGTATCCCATTTTCTATTAAATACGTAAAGGTAAATAATACAGACTTGGAGTGCTTGTATAAGACTACAAGATTAAGTTTTCCATTTTGATCTCGAAATTGGCCAATAAAATGTTCATTTTTTGTAAAGAAACTGGATTAAAAAAGTAAGGAAAAAATTTAATTATAATGAATTTAAAAATTAAATTATAAATTATTCACTTCAAAAAAATTTCATGAGAATGATATTGAATGTTTTGTTTCACATAGCGCCAAGCGTTCAGCAAAGCTGCTTCCTCATAAAGTGTAAATCCAAGGGAATTCACTTCAGTTTTGTAGTCAATATCCTTAATTGGTACTGGATATAGGGTTGCCATTTTTGAATTTAGAATTTTTTTACTTTGTTCGAATTTACTTTTAAATTCAGATCCTAAACAATGACAGTATTCATAAAAAAATAATATTATTAAAATATTTTTTATTAAAACTAAAAAAATTGTAATTAATTAAAATCATTTTTGTACTTAACTTCGTTTTCAATGATTATTCAATTTAAAATACTTCACCAATTAAATTACACTGATATGAGAATTAAAAAAAATAAAAATGAATGAAATCAGTTATATATCAGAGTCATGAATATGAGATGAAACTAGAAATTACGAATTGTCAAGTTCTTGAAACCACATCTCAAACTAGATTCATCATTTCATTATCATCTGGCTGTAGGTCCCTTCTTGTTAAATAATTCAACGTTTAAATTTTTTGCACTGCAATATAGAGGACAGAAAAAAGAGGATGACGTATATGTAATTTTAATAATATTAACTTATAGTAGATCGTAGTCCTGATGATGGCTCTCAAGGAGAGTCGAAATATAAAGTATATCAAAAAAAATATTAAACGTTGAATTATTTAATAAGAAGAGACCTACAGCCAGATTAAAAAAATATATAAAAAATATATAAAAAAATATCATAAACTTTTGTTAATAACTTAAAACTTTTTAAGCAAATTAAAACAAATTGAATAAAGTTTTGAGAACGTTAAAAATCAATTTCTGAAATATTGGATTACAGGTATATATATATCATGTCAAGCTAATTGTGTAGATTTGTAATTTGTGGGTTCCTATTGTAACTATGCAATGTTTTCCATTTCAATTGCAAGTTCAAATCTATTGCAGTTAATACTTGGTAAAATAATAAAAAACCGTCAATAAAAATATTCAAAAGCATGAATTATGAATCATTTAAACGCTTCCTTATGACACTGAAGAAAGCAGCACTGAGGAAAGAGTGGAAGCAGAAGCTACTACGCACGCTTACGGTGCCAACTGCAAGCAAACACTTTGTCTACTTAACCCGACGAAGTGATTAACATGAGCGTTAATATTTTACAGCACAAATAAAATATTTCAATACTCACTCTCTCACATAAGTGCATTCACATATGTACATGTCTCGGCCAACATGTATGTATGTATGTATTTATGTTATTATATAGCCTAAAGACAGCAAGCTTTAATTTAACATTAGACTGTTAGCGAGAAGATGGAAAACTGCCATGCCTACTCAATACACGTATGTGTTAAGTGTACTTATGTTACTAGCCCGGTTACTCGTAAAAACTTGCCAGTATGAGTGCACAGTGTACATTGTGCATTGTACAGGTTTGGCTTGGCGGCGAGTAAATGTGTGTGTGTGCTCGTATCTATGACCGGTGAGCATGCGAGCATTTGGCTAATTCAATAAACTTTATGTGTACTTAATGATAATTGTTAAGTGTTAAGCGGAAAATTTTAAATTGCAGTTGTCAGTTAGTTTGCTTGATTGTACGCAATCTTCATGTACATGGAAACTTAGCCGCAAGTCAACTGAGTAACCAGTACGTACTACGTACACTTATGGACAAACTCGTTAAATATTTATTAGTTAAATTGCATTGCAGTAAATGAAATGAAGTTTCAAATTTGCAAATTTGTTTATTTATTTACTTAAGAGTAATTGTAAATTTTATGATCTTTAAGTATATTTTTCAATTTTTTCAATTTTCTACTTTAAGTTGTTTACTTTTGATTATTTTCGTTGTCAGTATGAGTTATATTGACAAAAAGTGATTAATTAATTAATTCATAAATTATTAAATAAAATAGTTTTGAAAAGTTTCTGATTATTTTACAATACTGCATATATTGACATACATTAAGACCGAAAAGTTTTCGGAAATTCTCATTTAAAATTCGCGCGCTGTATATTTTTCGATATTTTAAGTTTATGTAGTTTGGCAGCACTGTCCTTAATTACTATGCCAAAAATGAGCGCGATCTGTCAGACAGTTCGTTTACGGCAGCTGTTGAAACCAGTTCACCTCAGTAGGGCGTTGCGAAAAAAACAATGGAAAAAAATATTGAACAAAGAGTTTGCATCAAATTTTGTGTTTCGAACGAAATTTCGTGTGCAGAATCGTTGCGAATGCTACAAAAGGCTTATGGGGAATCAGTTTTATCGAAAACTCAAGTTTATGAGTGGTACAAAGCCTTCCAGGACGGTCGTACGACCGTCGAAGACATTTCGCAACGCACTACTGAGGTGAACTGGTTTCAACAGCTGCCGTAAACGAACTGTCTGACAGATCGAGCTCATTTTTGG